AAGATGCATTTGTACATGTACAATGCAAATCAAGTGACCTTTGAAGTTATTTAAATAACACCAAAGACAATAATTGTCTCCTTTAACTTATACACTTTCATGGTACAAGATAAACAACAAAAATAATTTCCAGTAACAGTCAAAATTGACATTTTACATCCTTGAAGTCCTATTATACATAGAGCCAAATGATACACACCTTACTCCGCTCACCAAGGGTGCAAATTTTAGATTTGCTGCTTTTCGGAATTAGCCGCTAGCTTGAAGGTCTCTGAACTAAAACAGCAACACATGTGTGGAAATAAGACAAAGCAAACTTCACCAAAAACGCATGAAAATGGAAATACATGAACTACTTAATATTGTAAAGTGAAGAGCACCAGGATTTCACAATTTACACAGTTTAAGAGTCAACTTACATGTCCCTGATCTTCGGAGATGAGAGAAGTCAGGCAAGTGCAAATCGAATTATTAGTTATACAGGTTCCTGGGTGCACAGCCTCCAACCCAGTCACATGAATTACCTCACTAAGAATATACTACCTCTAGCGGCCTCCAGTGGCCACTTACACTCCCACCAAATCATGTTATGATAAATGAACTCAGCATGGAAAACAAAACAGTTACTCATACATGATTTCTAGAGTTCTATAACTGCCTAAGCATGGAGCTACAGAACAAAATAGGGACACCTTGAATAAAATCAATAAACCAACATGTCTGATGTAAGTGTACTTGAGTGTACTACAGACCGTTAATTGTTTTCAAGGAGGAGCACCAGCTTTTGGATGGGCCTTTCAATGATTGAGGGCTTACATCGGGGGTTCTGTTTCTGTGTTACTTTCCGCTCCCCAATTTGTACCTTTACCCGACGAACTAAGCCATCTGACCCTTCTGTAGTTTCAACCACTCGCCCTAGTTGCCACTGATTCCTGGGAGTGTATCTTCCTTTATGATGACTATGTCGTCCACTTTCAAGTTGCGTCGCCGTACATGCCACTTTTGCCTAATGGATATATTCAGGAGGTATTCCTTCTTCCACCGGCTCCAGAACTGTTCAGTTAAATATTGTACTCTGCGCCATCTTTTTGCGGCGTACATATCTTCCTTTACGAACTTTCCGGGAGGTGGCAAGGCGACTTTAGCTTTCATCAGGATCAGGTGGTTTGGAGTCAAGGGCTCTGGTGCCATAGGATCATTGATTCCTTCAACATTTAATGGGCGACTGTTTACAATGGCCATAGCTTCATAGAACAGCGTTCTAAGGGAGGCATCATCTAGTCTACCAGGACACTGAGCGATCGTAACATTCAGCACATTGCGGATGGTCCGAATTTGTCGCTCCCACACACCGCCTGTGTGACTCGCTGAAGGCGCATTGAGAATGAACTCACACTGTTTATCCGACAGAAAGGCTTCCAGTGCCTCTGTGTCACATTGCTTGAGGGCTTCCTTGAAGTCATTCTTCGCCCCCACAAAGTTTGTGCCCTGATCACAGCGGAGTTGGCAAACAGCTCCTCTAAGGCTAATAAAACACCTTAAAGCATTAATGAAGGCGTCCGTGGACATGTCCTCAAGCATTTCAAGATGGACTGCTCGAGAAGACAGGCAAGTGAAGATGAGTCCATATCTTTTGCTCTCTTTGCGACCTCGCTTGGTGATAAATGGGCCGAAGCAATCCATACCGCAGAACATGAAGGGAGCTGAGACTTCACAGCGTTCTCTGGGGAGTTCAGACATTCGTTGCTCCTCAACTGGTCGTCTGAGCTTCCGACATTTCACACATCTATGTATTAACCTGGCGACTAGTTTACTCCCACCAATAGCCCAAAATCCATTTGACCTGAGTTCCATTAAGGTCTGGCTCCGACCCTGGTGGCAGATCTGGGCATGGTAGTGTGACAGGATAAGCTTGGTGATGTGACTGTCCTTTGGGAGAATGATGGGGTGCTTTAGTTCTTGACTGAGGGATGATCCCTTAAGTCTTCCGCCAACACGAAGAAGTCCCCCATCCAGAAAGGGGTCGAGACAAAGAAGAGGACTGGATTTTGGAATTGTCTTCCCATGAGTGCTCCCTTTCAGTGCCTTTAGCTCTTGAGGAAAGGCTTGCTGTTGGACGAGCTGAATCACCACCTCAGCAGCCCTCCTACGTTCATCGACAGTAACAGTTTCGCCGTGATATTTTAGCTTAGATCCTAGTCTTTTGATTCTTGCAACCACCTTAACAAGCATAGTCCAGGTAGAAAACCGGTTCAGGCGACTTAGAATGTCGTTCCAGTCACTGACGTGAGTTGCAAACACTTGAATCGATTTAACTTCGGGATCACCTGTGAGCAGCTCGGTTGAAGGCCTAGGTGTAGGTAGCACTTCCTGTTCCCATAGAAACTTGGGCCCTGAAAACCAGCGAGTCGAAGAGATGTCTGCTGCATGAAGACCTCTAGAGGCGTGGTCAGCTGGGTTTTGTGCTGTATCTACGTAGTTCCATTGATTTGGGTCTGTAATCTCTCTTATCAATTGAACACGGTTTGCCACGAACACATGGAACCTTCGTGCCTCATTGTTGATGTAAGCCAGCACTACTTGTGAGTCTGTCCAGAAGAGTTCTTGTTCAATTTTCATCTCGAGTTCTGCCTTCAGCATAATACTCATCCTGGCTGCGGTGACTGCGGCAGAGAGTTCCAATCTTGGGATGCTCGTGATCTTCGTAGGTGCAACCCTCGCTTTGGCCATTACAAGACTGCAATGAACCTCGTCCTTGTCGTTTTTGTATCTCAGATAGGAACATGAACCATATCCTGTGTTACTGGCATCTGAGAAATGGTGCAGTTCCACCCTAACAATTTTACCAAAGTTCTGAGGATGGTAACATCTGGGTATGGCAACTTCCTTTAACCTCTGTAAACCATTCTTCCACTCCTCCCACCGTGAACGCAAGTTCTCAGGAATAGGATCGTCCCATCCAATACCTCTACGACATAGCTCCTGCAGGATGCACTTGCCACTCAAGGTGAAGGGAGCTACAAACCCGAGCGGGTCATACAGAGATGCGACGACTGACAATAGACCACGGCGAGTTGGGGGGTGGTCCTTTGCGTCAATGTTGAAGCTGAATGTGTCATTTTCTGATGACCACTGAATGCCCAGTATGTGTCCTTCTGGTGTTGCGTCTGGATTAAGGTTGAGAGGATCAGTGGCTACTGCCCTTTCTGAGGGTGCCACACAGGAGAGGACCTCTTTTTGATTTGAGTTAAACTTGTGCAGACGTAGACCTGCAGTTTTGCACAGTTTTTGTGCTTCGACAATTAGTTCCTTAGCTTCCTTGATTGTTGGAACACTGGTTAGCCCATCGTCCACGTAGAAGTTCTTCTCCACAAATACTGAAGCTGTCGGGTGGTCAACTTTGTGTTGCTGTGCCAGATACTTGAGACCAAAATTGGCACATCCAGGGGAGGACGCCGCACCGAAAATGTGGACTGTCATTCTATATTCCTGCGGTTCTGTTTCTAACACTCCACCCTCCCACCAAAGGAACCTTAGGTAGTTGCGAACTTCTGGTGAGACGCTGAACTGGTAGAACATCCTCTCGATGTCACAGATCACAGCAACTGCTTCTCTTCTAAAGCGACAAAGGACTCCTACTAAAGAGTTAATTAGGTCGGGGCCTGTGAGTAAAGTGTCATTTAGGGAAATCCCCCGGAACTTTGCCGAGCAATCAAACACGACTCTTAATTTGCCTGGCTTCCTGGGGTTGTACACTCCGTGATGTGGAATATACCACACAGTTTCTCCATCCAATAATGGAGGAGCTGGCTCTGCATCACCTTTCTTGATAGTTTCTTCCATGAAGGCGGTGTAATGGTCGAAATACTGTTTGTTGGCCTTTAACTTCTTCTTTAGATGTTGCAGCCGAACAGTAGCCAGCTTCTTATTGTTAGGGAGAGCCGGCGGACAACTGCCCTTGAATGGAAGGGGAATCTCAAAATGTCCATCTCTTTTCTGCTTAATGTTATCACTAAGGAGCTGAATAAAATGAACGTCATCCTGTGAAACGTACTTGTCTTCATAGCTCCTCTCGTTGAAGTCCGATTCCAGTATTTTCAGCACATCGGTGGCCACTGGCACCTCTTTCACTGCAACACGATGCACAAAGCTCTCGTTTCCTTGTCTATCCAAGTGGGGATTGGCGGACCCTATAATGCTCCAGCCAAGCATTGTCCTTTGCGCGAAAGGTTCGTTTTCACCACCTGTGATGACCTCCAAGGGAGCTAGTGCTGACGGGCAATCATAACCAATTAGCAGTCCAACCTCACAATCTTGGAGTGGATGTAACTTGTTTATAAGATGTTTCAGATGAGGCCACTGAAGCGCTGTACCTTTGTAGGAATGTGAGACTTGTCGATTGGAATGAAGTCTCGTGTGTAGGTCTGCTGTAGTTGGATGTAAGTGTCAGAGTTAAGTCCCCGAACTTGTAGACCATACGCACTCTTGCTTGCTATGACTGTGTTGACAGCTGTCATTGTGCTGAGTTTAAGTTGAACTGGCTGAGTGTTCACATTTAGTTCGGTGACCAAATCTTCCAAGATGAACGTTGAGTCGCTCTGTGTGTCGAGTAGAGCATAAGTGAGAATTTCTTTCTGGGCCTCTGTTGTTGATGACACAAGAACTGGAACAATGCTAGAGGTGGCAGAAACGTGCTGTGTCAATGCATGGGCCATTACCTTGTGAATTTCCTTGCTTCCATGGTCTCCTGTAGCTACAGGATCATTGCTTGCAGATCCGCCAGGGTTTGTGTTTCTTTCTAGGTGCAAGCAGGTTGGATGACGTCTACCACATGTACTGCAGGTGTGTCGCCTTTTACAGTCTTTGGTTGTGTGACCCTTTCTTAAGCACCCAAAACACAGGTGGTTTTCATGGATAAAGGCCTTCTTTTCATCTGTAGTCTTTGCTGCAAAGGTTGGACACTTAACAACACCATGTGTTTCGTCTTTACAAACTAAGCAAGGTGGCCTTGGTTTCATGTTTTCCAGAGTTCCTGAGGTGGAGTTTTTCATTTGAGTGCTTGTGTTGAGCACCTTGGCTCTCTTTGAAAGCCTCTCGTCCGTGCCTTTAACGTTCATCAAAAGGGGGGAGGCAATAGGGTTACAAGCTATACGAGCTTCGGTCTGCATAAACTCTGTGAAATGCACAAAACTTGGATAGTCTCCAGATCTGTCTAGCTCTTCCACAACAATACGACTCCATCTGCGCACCATCCACTCAGGCAGCTTTTTAAGGAGCTTGTGATTTTCCTCGCAATCGTTTAGAATACCCAGGCCCTTAACATGAGGAATGGCCTCAACACAACCTTGAAGGAAATCTGCAAACTCTCTTAATGCAATGGGGTCATTTGCAGCTATCTTTGGCCACTTCATGAGCTTGTCTCTGAAGGCCCTTTGGACAATAAATGGGCTTCCGTACCTATCTTGTAAGACTGCCCAGGCACCTTGATATGCCTTCTCTGAATTTCGGTAGAAAAATCCTTCAACGGCTTTGCGTGCTTCACCAGCAAGATAACTCTTTAGATGGAGCATTTTTTCGCTAGCTGGGAGCGGCTTCTGGTCGATAAGAGCCATAAAGGATATCTTCCAGTCTATGAACCTCAAGGGATCACCAGTAAACGTGGTTGGTTCCGGGACAGGTAGACGGCTTAGGGTAAGTGAGCTTGCAATTGCCTGGGCTAGGCTGACCTCCTGAGCTACTGGCACCTCTGAGTGTGCAGGATGAGGCTGGAATGGCATTGCTTGTGGATTTAGTGGGGTTCTGAGTCCAGCATTGTGCCCACTATACTGAGTTTTTTGGTCAGGCTCCTCCTCAAAGCTTTCAGCACCATCAAAATTGTTGTACGCTCTCACCCGAGCTGCTGCTACCTTCACTTCATTGTCCGCTTGTAGCTGTTGTAACCTTGTTTTTTCCTCTTCTAGCTTTAGTTTCATTTCAACCTCCTTTTGTTTGATTTCTGCTAGCATCTGTGTTTCCTTGAGTTTCCATTCACTCTCCAGTTTGTCGAGTCTCGCCTGTTGAAGGTGTATTTTTTGCATGGCTTTTGCCTGTTCTACCTTGGCGGCCAGTTCGGCTTCTGCATCTGCACGTTTGCTAGAGGACCTGGAGGTGGCGCTTGAGTAGTTGCCTGATCCTTGTGATGACTCTGAAATTACTGTTTCTGTTTTCGTATTTCCAAAGACTGACTCATACTCATCCTTATTTAGCGCCATTCTCACCCTCTCTTTCTCTAGTTGGTCATTGAAAGCCTCATCTATGTTCTCAAGTCGTTTACTGACAAGGTCACAAATCTCCGCTGTAAGAGTGTCACATGCATCCATTCTTTTGACAATATCAGGAGTAGTGGTATGGTTGCGTCGAATGGGCTCATAATTTTGATGCACTATAGCTTGTTTGGACTTAATGTTAGTTTGAATTTTATCAAGGTCCTCAGACAAGCAGAAAGCCTTCAATTTAACTCTGAATTCCTTTGCCGAATTTTTCCAAGAATCATACGCTTTGTTGAATGCCTTTTCATTCCTCTTTGCTTCCTGATCATGTAATTCTTGACCCTTTGTTGTTAAAATACGGTCACGGGAGCTTGACCTGACTTGTTGTGCTTCTGGGGTCTTGTCTATTTCCTCAGCAGGTAATGACATCTTGTAGGTCTGTTTGTACTTTAAGGCCTTAGAGTGTTTTATGTCTAGACTCAAATTTGGATGAGTGGTGGCTTTAACTTATCTTTAAAACTATATATTACCACTCACATCAGACATTTACACTTTGTGGACACATCAAGGGGTTTAAACAGAAACAGCTACTGAAAGTCATAAACAACAATACTGCTGATAGTCTTGTGACAGACAATTTTGCTCCTCAGATATTGTTAGTTCAGGAATTAAATCTTATCAGATAACGTTGACCTTAGCCACACTCTTAGACTTTGTACTGGTCAACCTTATGGGTCTAGCTAGCATTTAGCGTATTTTGTGTTACACATCCAAAACCCTTCTTGGAATTATTTAGAATATGGCAGTTCTTGATTTCTCTAGAGGTCCAATGTCCCATGTAATGAATTAGCTGAGCACATAGTCCTTTAAAACCCGTTGACTTTAATGTAGTGCTCCTGTATGTGTATCTGTGATTGGATTTACCCACTTAGACAAAATCTCTCACTGCAGCTGTGGCATCCATATATTGGCGTGCAAACATCGGATGATCTTGTGTCCACTGGCTGATGAAGACGTCTGCATTGGTGGATGACTCCGCGATAAGTTTTCACTGTTGCAGCCCTTGGCTCCTTAATAAATGGCAGAGAGTCTCAAACGGGTGCAGTAATTTTATTCGTCCAAATCAGCGTGAGCACCGTGAAAACTATAAGTAAACACAAATAGCTGATTAATGAACCTTTAGACACAAATTCACAAACAAAATCCTCACCTCATTTACAGTACATCAAGATGCATTTTGTAAATGTACAATGCAAATCAAGTGACCTTTGAAGTTATTTAAATAACAACCAAAGACAATAATTGTCTCCTTTAACTTATACACTTTCATGGTACAAGATAAACAACAAAAATAATTTCCAGTAACAGTCAAAATTTGACATTTTACATCCTTGAAGTCCTATTATACATAGAGCCAAATGATACACACCTTACTCCGCTCACCAAGGGTGCAAATTTTAGATTTGCTGCTTTTCGGAATTAGCCGCTAGCTTGAAGGTCTCTGAACTAAAACAGCACACACATGTGTGGAAATAAGACAAAGCAAACTTCACCAAAAACGCATGAAAATGGAAATACATGAACTACTTAATATTGTAAAGTAAAGAGCACCAGGATTTCACAATTTACACAGTTTAAGAGTCAACTTACATGTCCCTGATCTTCGGAGATGAGAGAAGTCAGGCAAGTGCAAATCGAATTATTAGTTATACAGGTTCCTGGGTGCACAGCCTCCAACCCAGTCACATGAATTACCTCACTAAGAATATACTACCTTTAGCGGCCTCCAGTGGCCACTTACATTGTATTCAGTGCCTATATAACGTTACTGCCCACACAATGCAACGGAAGAGTTCAGAAGCTAAGTCATTAGAAGCTTATGAACAATTCTGCCGCGATTCGAACCCGGGTCTCTCACACGCACACCAAAGGTGTCTTATCCACTGCGCCATCACCACCACACCAAGGGAAGAAATCTCCCTTTGACTGGAAATGAAAGTAAAAAATATGTTGGGAGTATGTCACATGTCTTTTTGTGTCACATGTCATAACAAAAGTGTTGTGGGATGTGTCTCCTAAGTGTTTAGTTCAGGAGAGCTCAGTGTGTGTGTGAAGGAGTTTCAGGGAGTGCGTATGTACGAGGCGCGCCCCCTTTCTTTCGTTTTTTACTCCCGCGAAGGATTGGGAAAAGAATGTGTGAGAGTGACTCGGTGAGATCGGTGCAGGTGGTTAGCTATGTGCAATGTATCAGTACAGCCAGTAAAATAAAGAGCCTAAACTCTTCGGCAACTAAGACGTCCTCCTTGTCTTCTTATGCTACCAACACACTACACAGCGTGAAGTTTAGGAAGTTAACCCTGCGAAGAGAATTTCCAGCCCTGGACAAGACGAATCTCCCCTGTGTTTCTCAACCACGGTTAGGAGGCAGAAGCAGGAAAGGTTAACACAAGCATCAAGTGCGTCATTCTTTCCAAAAAAGGGGAGTAAGTGAGGATAAAAAGGTCAGTACATAACATGTACCTAAAGGACATCCAAAACTCACTCCTCCAGTTGAGGTTGGGAAAAAAAGTTGGCCCTTACTCCAATCTCTTAGATGCTGGAAAGAAGTCTCATGATCGAAGTAAGAGAAGAAAGAGAGAGAGAGAGAGAGAGAGAGAGAGAGAGAGAGAGAGAGAGAGAGAGAGAGAGAGAGAGAGAGAGAGAGAGAGAGAATGTGCTTGCATGTTCTCCCGCTTGTGGATAATAGTTATTAAAAGTTTCATACGAGGAATATACTTCTCTGTGCTTCTTGTCATGAGGACTTAACAATATAGGCCTACATGAAATTAGGGGAGAATAAAATAATGAAATAATCATCAAACTGAGTATCTATTTGTGAGAGAAGGTCAAAAGACTATACAATAAATAAAAATTCAATATAGGCCTATTGTATGTACTGTATTTAAAAATACTATTACTTAACCTTAATAAAAACTTATTTTAACCCTCACATGCTTAATAATCTTCGAGGAAAACATGTTAAATGATTGCTGATTTCTGCCGTTATACCCTTTTTACGTTGTTTTCTAATTTCACCTAAATAATTTGTAAAATATTACTTAATATTTTATGTAAAATTACACATAAGTCTTTAAAATTATAGACAATTGTCTTTTAAAAAAAACATACAATTGATGTAAAACCAAAATACAAGCAATTATCTGTAAGTTGAATAGTGGACTTTTAAATTACAGCTAAATTATCTGTATAATAACAGGCATTTAACTGTATAGTGGCAAAACAGCCGTTCTAGTACTGAACTCTGTTTAGGCCTATGTCAGACATTTCTAATTGTCCACCCATTTCAAATGTGTCTAAAATCATTAAGTGATAAAGCGTTATTCATTTATTACAGTAGCTAATGTGTTTTAGAATGACTGGAGATCTGGACCAATCAGCATCCAGGAACACTTGTGCTCATGATACCAAATGACCAAGACAAAACCTTATTTTATTTATGCACTTTATTAATATATTGGAACAGAAACAATTACTGACAAGAATACAATATTTGTCAAAGTAGCTAATACGATATTTTGCTGATTTTCTTATTAATGATCAGCTGGTAATAAAGGTCAATCGTGAAGAAACAGATTGAAACATGCAGAAATATGTTCGACATTAAACAGAAATGAAGCACAAACTTTACCAACCTCTGATTATCTTATAATGGCACACAAATCACATTTAGCAGAAAAAGTAATAAATGAAGTTCCTAAACATAAGTGAGCCAATCTAATCTTTCAATGAACAGCCTGATTATATAAGCAGCCGCTTACCTCCCCCTAGCATCAGCTGTCCCAGAATCCCTCACCTCCCCAAACTCCACCTTCACCTTAGGTCCCTCGCCCTTTTAATCGGGTCCTACATTTCGCCACTGGGGGCGTCTATCCGAGCTCGAGTTAAAGCGGCTTCATCGAGCCCCTCTCCAGTGGACAGCAAGCCAAATAAGTTTATCCTAATATCTTAGAGAATATCTTAAAGATTTTATGGGCAAACAAACTTGTTAATGCCTATAAATTTTAAGTGATTATTAAAGAGAGAAAAATAAATTTGTTAAATCATCTATGTAGTTCAATTTAGTCGGTATTTAGATTGTTATAAGTTGTGTATTGAGTTGCGTGTTAAATTTGATCGTGTTAGCGCCTGGATGTATTTTGCCCGACGATCGCATTAATCTCTTCCACCACTTTTGCTTTATTGTTGGAGATGTTTTTTCCAGCGACCTCTATAAGGTCAGTGATCATCTCAGCGCTGTAAGCACCTTGAAACGTGCCATATCTCTTCCTCCAGTCCTCAATTGTATCTGAAGAAACAATAACACACTTAAATCAGAACACAGTTAATATGTGAGATTTTATTCAGGTTCATTGTACGATTTTAACTCGCCTCCACAGTTGACCACATTAAAGAGAGGGATGTGAATCACGGTTGGAACGTTTTTGCCTTTGAACACGTAGAAGTCCTCCGGTTTCTCTGAGTGTCCGTCGGGAATGATGACCTCAGGGAAAGGGATGTTTCGTTCCTTGCACATCTTGGCAGCGTCCTTCACTGTCTGCAGTGGAAAAGCATTGCAAATCACTTTATTACAAGTGGAAGTACTTCCAGGAGTTCATGTGTATCTGACACTCAGATGAACAGATGGCTGACTCCAGGTATATTTTCTTTATATATACACACCAAATAAAGATGGTGAAATTAAAATATTTAAATGGGGTGAGATATCACATTAGGGTGAGAGAATGATGATTGTATTTAAACGACAGTATGAGTCCATGATATGAGAGTATGTGTGCATTATTATATTAGAGAAAGGAATATATAATACCGTGAAAGGATCACCATCGCTGAAATCCAGGGAAATGATGAGTTCGGTGTTTCTCTCTTTTCTCAGCACTGAGAAGTATGGCGAGTTGAGCAACAGTCCCGCGTCTTCAAAGTCTCTCATCTCACTTTCCAGTAGAGCGGCGGGCACTGCTTCAGCTGACAGTTTATGAGTGAGAGATCACAAATGAGTCACGTTTATTATTCACATTGAATTGCCAGTAATCAGCAAGTCTCTTCTCACCTGTCATGTTGTGGAGAAAGTCATATTTCCTGCCCCAAATCCACAGAGCCATGCATTTCAAAATGCTGTAGGTAAGACCTGTACAACAAATACACTCTTAAAATAAAGTTTCTTTTTAAATGGTTCTTAGGACTGTCTTTGTGACTTTCTTGACGTACTTTGGAGATTTAAGAAGTTCTTGAAGTTTTGCCTTCATCAGATCAGTGTTTTTAATTTTGTTCTAGCTATAAAAGGGAAAAATATAGATTGTTTTAATGTATTTTATTGATGTATGTCTATTGACAACTAGCCGGGGACTAGAGGGTCGTAGAGGCTAAAGCTGCTCTTTTTATCAAGAGGGACTGTCCGCATCATTATAAACTAATAAACTAAACTTACACTCTTAGAAAAAAGGGTTCATTGGGGTTTTATATATGAAGCATTGGGTTCTTTACTCAACTCCAAAGAAACTTTAATGCAAAAAAAGTTTCTATAATGACAAGAAAGAGGTTCTTTATAGGCTATTACTCATTCATATATTACATTATTCTGCAACATTTTGTAGTTGTAATTCAATTGTTTATTAAACTGTTGTAGTAACTTAATATCACATTTTAATCATGCTGATTTTTGGAGGAGAAAAACTGAAATGGCACTCTGCGTGTGATATTGATTAACTACATAAAATGATATAAATATATACATTTTCTAACCCCCATATCTTGAATT